CTTCACAAAAATAGAGGTTTCCTTGCAGCTTTATCGGGTTCCCGTAGTTTGCCAGCAAAAATACCGCGGTTTGCCCACTTTCACAGCAAAGGATCCCTAGGCCTCTGGCCTCAGGAACTCAGGGACTCAGCGTTATTTTTTTTGCATTTTTTTTCCCGGGCATGGCCTACGCACCTGGGCGTGCCCACGGCTGAGATGCCTCGTATGAGTATGAGGTCAAACATTCATCATCCAGAATGAACAGCGAAAAAGTCCTGCTACTACAAGCACAAGGCGGTTAGTCAACAAATCCACGCCAAAGGTCAGGGGATAAAAGATGTGGAGGTAGGAGAAGATGCATGAAGAAAAAGAGAGAAAGGAAGGAAGGAAGAAGAAGAAGAAGAAGAAGAAGAAGAAGAAGAAGAAGAGGAAGAACAAGTAGTAGAAGAAGAAGAGGAAGAAGGAGAAGAGGTAAGGGACATAGGGGAGGAAAGAGAAGGAAGTATTGCAAGATACACTGATATCTCCCGAACGCGACTGAAAGGATATTGCAATGAAAAACAGACGGCGAGGACCCAACGTTTCGGTTGTCCGCCAACAGCGCTCATCAGGGGTCTTGGTCGCGGAGGTACTGTAGCAGACAGCACCTCATCAATTTATCTTGCACCAACCAAGCAAGACCAGAGCACGAGAAGAGGGACCGGAGGACCAAGTACCACAGTTCCAAATCCTACTCCATGGGTCATATCAGACCGGTTCCTCAAATTCAGCTGAATACCACGCCGTGGTAAGGAAACTACATCTATTCGAACCCACGTTCTACAAATCAACAACATTCGGGAAAGCAAAGGAGGCCACAGCGACCACTGAAAGTCAAAAAACACCAAGGTCCAAATATCGGACCCAATTCAGACACGCCTCAGATCAACACCAACTGCTCTAGGCTCAAGGTCCGGGGCTCAAAACACCCGCCTCGGGACAAAACCAAAAGTACCGACAATATTGAGACATACGACCCCAATTGGTAAGCAGTGAGATCCAGTGATCCCAACACCCCGCAAATTTCCTCGAGAAATTGACCAACGCGCTATCAAAGTAATTGTCAGGGTAACCTCGCTTCCACAGCTCAATCTTAAAGGTAAGCAGGAAGGCCAATTCACCATCAGGCAAAGTCGTATAGGTGCGCGCCCGATGCAAAAAGGAAGAAATCACCGCAAGTTTTTGCTGACGATTAGAATACGATACAAAGTCTTGAATACTATGAAAGACAAGTGGAAGGGGAACAGAACCCTTCTGGTTCTTGTGAGTTGCAATGCAAAGAAGACGACATGGACAGTCCACCAACATCAACTTGCACCCGATAAAATTCCAGCATCCACCATCATTGGTCTGCTCCAAGGAAAGATTGGAGTCATAACAGTTCCGGAAAGATTCCAGTATCCGTTACGCTTTCAACTGGGACTCAGGGCACCCAACATCATACTGCACAAAGATGGATACGTCATCAACGATGCGAAAGCCTCTGACCAATTTTTGGTCGGCCCCTAACGACGAAAGAAACAAGAACTCATTGAAGGCACACAAAAGGCAGGCTAGGGCTGGACTAGTAGATTTGCCCATGGGAATTCCAATGGTCTGCCGCAAAAGCACGTCCGAAGCAACAATAAAGGTGTTGTCCAACTCGAAGTTAACGTAGGATAGCAACATAGCAAAATCAAGAAAAGCCCAACCAGATTCACACTTCCCCTTCGTCAGCTTCACCAACTTCCCATGCAGGCTCACAGAAACACCACGAAACCATTCACCTACCCAGAGATCGACGACCCATCTTACCGCATCAATGATAGAAGGATGTCGCAAATTCGAGAACATCTCATTTACATCAAAGGAGGCACCAATCAATTGTTCCCCTTTCTTCAACCGCTTATTCATCGAAACAATCCCCGAAATCAGATCGGGAGTACATCGAAGATTGAAGTGTGTCAGAGCCGGAAGTTTCCAAAGTAGACAATTAACCGCACGAGCAACCCTTCCACCACTGAGCGAGCTGCCTTCAGAAGAGGAGGGGCAAATTGGTCGCCACCGGGTGACATCTTTATGCTTGGGCAGACAGTATGCACGTCCCAAGTGGCACTGCCGCTTCCATTTCCCAATTCGTGAAAAACCACTTCCCACATACAATGACTTACATCGTTCCAACACCTCACTTTCCAACACCGCCATCCTCTCAAAAGACACATTCTCCAGGAACAGCTGCTTCATACCCCGGCCATAAACGACAGGACAGCA